ACAAGCCGCTGCTTGCTGTAAAGCTTAAAAACTTTTCCGACTAATCCATGCCAGCAGTAACAACCATGCGTGAATGAGACCATATGCGAAACCAATTGCGAGCCTATACACAAGCGACATCAACTTGGACGCTGGCCCGACAACTCATCATTATCATCATATCATATTGTTACACCGAAACACCGTGAGGCGAAATTCACTGATCGCTGCCAAACTCGTCATGCGTAAAAGGTTAGTGGTAACATTAGCGGTGGACAGGGACCGGATCTATTTGGGAGGAGGGGGAAGGTCAACACACAGAGTACTCAATCGAACTCTGCATACATACCGTTTCAAGCATTCTGGCAACAAGAGCGCCACTGTTATCGGTTAGCTGCCATATTTTTCAATGTCTCCAATAAGCAAGGGAGTCTTTCGGACCCCAAAATGGAAGGCGCGAGACATTTACCCTAACTAATGGCTCTGTGCATTTCTTCATATCTCGTCTCCACATCATTTGCTGACCTCCAAGTGGTTTCCTCTAACCCGCAGCGGCTACAGCGAATAAAGAGCGATGCGGCAGACGATGGCTGGGCATACGCAATACACGCCCTAGCCAGCGAAGCCCAGTAATCTGAATTCGGTATGCTAGCAGGTTTATACCTGACAGACTCCCAAACACACGACGGCTTACTTCCACGTTACTAACCCGTTCGCTCCATCCAACATGGGCTAAACTGTGCAGATAGCGATAATCAAAAACTTCCAGTCGACGGATATTTTCTACTCGCAAATTCAAGGTTTCTCAACTATAAAGTCAAACAGAACGAACGGTTGCACAGTATACACGACCTTTCAATTTCAATTTCGCGTCTACGCCAAACGTGTTTCAGTCCTGCGTATGCTGCTGGATCCTTGGAAATGCAGGCGGTTATCTCCTTTATTGAGGTACCGTCATTGGTCACGCAGCCACCTAAGTAAGAAAAGCAATTCACAGTAACTAATTCCTGACCGTTTAGTTTCAGAGCGGGAGTAGGCTAAACCCAGTCCTTCAGCATCACTTTACATTTCGAAGGTGCAAAGCACATATTGAATGTAGTAACAGCACTTGTTGATCTATCAAAGGCACTTTGTGCGCCCTCCGTACATTCGGACAGAAAGAGGATGTCATCGGCGTAATCTAAGTCACAGTTTTCCTCCAGCTGCCCATTCACTAAGTGCGTTCTCCAGTATACAGTCTACGACGAAATCGAAAAGGAACGGCGAAAGAGAGCACCCTTGACGAGCGGCTTACTTAGTTCATTATAAACCCTTAAGCGACCAGAGGTATGAGTACTGTGACTACAGTTAGTTGACGTACTTCTGGGGCATTCCTTTTCGAAGAGGGGAACCCATCAGAGCATCGCGGCCAACTGAATCGAGGGCTCGTTTCAGGTTAATGAACACTTTTATTACACTTTCGTGTGATGAACAGCAGACAGGGCGAACCCCATGGTCACGAGGACCTGCTGTTCAATGATGGAAACCGATGACCTAAGCGCCGCAAGACTTGAAGTGGCGAACCACATAAGGCCCCGCTGGGTTAGGTGTGGTATTGAACCGGATGACAGCAAAGCTGCCTACCACCACTGCCGACCACGTCTACTAACAAGTCAGTTGGTCATTGTTATTTTTTTTTCTGAGGAATTAGAAGGACTGCCTTCCCGTGTTAAACCTGGTGACAAGTGACGCGCAAAGTCCCGATCACAATGCAATGAAAACCAAGACTGCCTCGTGATACGGTACTAGTAATGCCAATTAATTGATGACATGATAAATAATATACAAACCTTGATTCGTGAGTTAGGACAGTCGTCAAGGCACTTCCAGATATAAGTGCATCAAATAGGAATATGACAGCGCTCGACTGTGTCGAAATACACCTTACAATCAAGGTGCTTCAAAAGGGGACAGCTCACCGCTGTGTTAAATAGAGAATATGATAAAAGTATACGGAGTCAAACAAATAAGTCCAGTCAGGCAGTGACATGAAGCTCCCAAAGTATGAGCCAACCACAAGAGAGTTGGGTGTACACAATTCGACCTCACAACAAACAGTGGCAGGCGTACGTGCGTGCATACATGCATGTGTGTGTACATGAACAGGTGACTCCCTAGGAGCCATCAAAACAGGTCATATGTGCGTAGGTGGTTAAATAATCGATAATGATAAG